CCCCCCCCCCCCCCCCCGAGACGCCGGATGGTGGACCAGAATCGCCTCGAAGCCGTGCGGAAGTCATTCTCCATGGCCTCTCCGAACTCCTCCCATGCCCGAGTTTTTGCCTCGGCGACCACCCGAGCCACATGTCGCTTGGACTGCCGGTACCCATCAGCTGCTTCCGGGGTTCCACAGGCCGAAAAGACCCGATAGGACTCCTTCTTCAGCCTGACAGCATCCCTCACCGATGGTGTCCACAATCGGGTTCGAGGGTTGCCATCGCGACAGGCACCGACAACCTTGCGGCCGCAGCTCCGATAAGCCGCCTCGACAATAGAGGCACGAAACATGGTCCACTCAGACTCAATGTCCCCCACCTCCCTCGGAACATGTTCAAAGTTCTCCCGGAGATGGGAGTTAAAACTCCGTCTCACAGGTGACTCTGCCAGACGTTCCCAGCAAACCCTCACAATACGTTTGGGTCTGCCAGGTCTGACCGGCATCCTCCCCCACCATCGGAGCCAACTCACCACCAGGTAGTGATCAGTGGACAGCTCCGCCCCTCTCTTCACCCGAGTGTCCGAGACATGTGGCCGCAGATCAGATGAGACGATGACAAAGTCGATCATCGAACTGCGGCCTAGGGTGTCCTGGTGCCAAGAGCACATATGGACACCCTTATGCCTGAACAAGGTGTTTGTTATTGACAATCCATAATGAGCACAGAAGTCCAACAACAGAACACCACTCTAGTTCAGATCAGGGGGGCCGTTCCTCCCAACCACACCCCTCCAGGTCTCACTGTCATTGCCCACATGAGCATTGAAGTCCCCCAGCAGAACAAGGGAGTCCCCAGGAGGTGCACTTTCCAGTACCCCCTCCAAGGACTCCAGAAAGGGTGGATAATCTGAACTGCCATTTGGTGCATAAGCACAAACAACAGTCAGAATCCGTCCCTCAACACGTAGGCGGAGGGAGGCCACCCTCTCATTTACCGGGGTGAACCCCAACACACAGGCATTAAGTTGGGGGGCAATAAGTATGCCCACTCCTGCTCGGCGCCTCTCACCAGGGCCAACTCCAGAGTGGAAGAGTATCCAGCCCCTCTCAAGGAAACTGGTTCCAGAGCCAGAGCCATGCATAGAGGTGAGTCCGACTATTTCTAGCCGGAACCTCTCAGTCTCACACACCAGCTCAGGCTCCTTCCCCACCAGTGAGGTGACATTCCACG